AGAGAGAGAGAGAGAGAGAGAGAGAGAGACAGAGAGACAGAGAGAGAGAGAGAGACAGAGATAGAGAGACAGAGATAGAGAGAGACAGAGACAGCGAGAGACAGAGATAGAGACAGAGATAGAGAGAGACAGAGACAGAGAGAGACAGAGAGAAAAAGAGAGGTTCTGCCTCTTTTTTGCCATCACATCACCACCATAATACCTTAAAATCCCTGGCCCAAGAAGAAAAAAGGAGTTGTGAAGTCATTGAAATATGTCCCTGTGAGTTTTGTGGTTTCCTCGAACACAAGAGACATTGTTCCATATCTGCATATGTTTGTATTCTTCATCTTCAGAAAACAGCTTGATTTACTTCATTGTTCTCAGAAGGAATGAGAGAAACACTAAATCTACTTGAAAATAAGATGAAGAAGACAATTATCAGGCTATAGACACTCACCATTATTCTTGACATGAGTAAACGTAGCAAGTTAACAGTGAAACATATGCAAAGGGTTTATTGGATGCACTGCATTAATTCAGTGATTCATTCAGTAAAGATCTGACTCAGATCTGATCCATGTTCTACCTCAACCATCTCTGTAGCCTTAAACCCATCAAGGGACTTTCCTGACACTTTCTGTTCTTTGCTTATAACTATGAGTTTTCTAAGTGATCAAAGACCTTGAACCTTCCAAGTGTGTATCTGGTAATATATATTAGACATAATCCATGTCTTCTCAGATGCTGGAGCCTCCACATACATGTATGAGTTCCAATATCAGCCAAGCTTCTTATCAGACTTGAAATCCAAGACGGTGATAGGAGACCATGGGGACGAGATCTTCTCAGTGTTTGGGGCTCCATTTTTAAAAGGTAACTGCTGTTTGCTGGCTATGAACTTTGAGTTAGAAGGCCTGGGTTCCATTCTTGGTTTGATAGCCTTGAGCAAGTTTCTCCTTCTCCCCCGGTCTTAGGTGCCTGATTTCACATCAAGGGTTGAGCTATATTGAGCAGAACACAGCCTATCTCTTGTTCTAACATGCATGGAGGAAGGTGGGCATTCATATGCCTGAGCCAAAGTCACTGTCAACCTTCTGGCCTGTGACATCAAAAGGAAGGATAGTGGGACTTGTGTAGGGCCCTGCTTGAGGGCAAAAATGCCGCACTGATAGAATTGCCACTCACTAGAGCCTATTATGATGTGAGTGAGGAGAAGTTAAAATTACTGCTAAACTTGAATCAAATATCCTATGTATCCAAGTCTAGCATTCCATATATTTAAAACTTTAATATCTTTACCAATATTATATTTAATAATATGATAAATGAAATCTTTTTGTAAATGTGTTCCATCTTTCAATAGTTTTGACTTGTGTCCCACCTCACGGTTCCTCATGACACTTATATGACTTGGGAACCTCTCGCTCTTTATTCCTTAGGGCCCTTTACAGAGATAACATCTTCAGCATCAATGAAAATGTAGAAGTGTGCAGGAGAATAAAAAGGGATACAACATCCAGTAATTCCATGAGGCACAGGAAACCCTAATGCATGGCACTGCAATTACGAGAGTTGGAGACACAGAAGACAAAGGCAGCCAGAATATGGATGGACTTCATGTCCATATCTCAGTCCCACAAACATGTTTCTCAAGCTTAAATTGCACACCAGTTAGCCAAGATCCTCTTACTATGTAGATTTGTGACTGTGTAGATGTGGAGTAAAGGCCACAAGTATGCATTTCTTAAAAAAATCCCCAGTGCCATGGTTATTGGTGGCCCATCAACCACACTTTGAGAACTAAAGGCTTTTTTTTTTTTTTTTTTTTTACCTCTTCTATGCAGAGGGTGCCTCAGAGGAGGAGATCAACCTCAGCAAGATGGTGATGAAATTCTGGGTCAACTTTGCTCGAAATGGGTGAGGCTGTTGGTAAAGGCAGGACAGAGTTGGTGGTGGTGTGTGCTGGACACACCTATGGGGTTGGAGTGTCTTCTACAACTGAGTGATCAAACCCTCGACCCTGACCATAGCACTCTGACAATGACAGCCCACTGTAGATGCACGAGCTGTCCCAGGAGCTGAGAAGCTCCCTGTTTTTAGGGATTCATGAGCCTCTTTATATTGATAAGCAAGAGAAAGTTTGAGAAGTTTAGGAAAGATGTGGGGCTTACCAAGCTCTTTGCACAATCTCTACTCAATTCTGTTTCTAGGAATCCCAATGGAGAGGGGCTGCCTTACTGGCCAGAGTACGACCAAAAGGAAGGGTACTTGCAGATTGGTGCCACCACCCAGCCTGCCCAGAGACTGAAAGACAAAGAAGTGACCTTCTGGACCCAACTTCTAGCCAAGCAGGCGGTGAGCTCACACTCTGAGCTCTGAATGGGAGGCCCAGCCAGCTGCAGGAACCTGGAGCAGTCAATACATTTGTATTAGACAGACCCTGTTTGTAGACCAAAGAAGCATCTTATTTTAGAGGCCAAAGAATCATTTGTCGGTGTTTGCAGAATCCAATGATGGGTAATGTTTTCACTCTGGTCCCAATTTGGCGATAAATGTTGTTTTGGACAAAATAACCAATGTCTGTGTCGTATGGTGGAGATAAATCAGTCATCCTCAGAGAGATAGAGATATCTTCCTCCTACAGGTGCTTGATGGAACCATGCTTGTAAGAAGTTCTTTCAAAAATTTATAAACGTGCTCAAGACCAAGTGTAGACTAGAATGAAAGTATAAGACCCTTGAGAACCAGCATTCTATTGGGGAGTTTACACTCATCGCAGACTCTTCTCCATGGATATGTCCATGCTTATGAGAAAGATTGGGGGTGAATGGTAAGTTGGTAGGGAGCCTTTCTCCATGGTGCAGGCACCGAGTTATGCTCAGACCCTTTTCTAGGAAACAGAACTGTAAAAGCACTGTGTGAAGAACAGCAAGAGTTCAGCTCCTCAGGGCCCTGGTGAGGAACTATTGAGAAAGCAAAAAAGAAAAATTTAAAAACTCTATCCCTTCTGGTATCGTATAAGAGATTTTTGGCATAATGATCTGCCCTTGTCTATTTTGTAGGCTTTTCAACAGTCACTGGATAGTGTTTGAATTTGGGAGTACTGGTCTACCTCATTTATTTGGTGGTCGGAGTGACCACTAGTATGTTGGGGATTATTTGAATTCTTTGACTTTGGAATTTTGACAGTTGGTTAAATTAACATGGTTGGTATAAAGCTATGTGTGATTGGCAGGCTTATCTGTTGCACTTGGTTAGCTTTGTTATATATTCTATAAAGTTATGTTTACACAACAATAAATCTACAGAGATTGAACAACAACATCAGAAGAGATCCTTAGAAATCTTTGACTGCTGGAGAGGGGCAGGTTCACTGAGAAAGACAACCTCATGGGCTGTAACACACAGGGCCCCATGTTTGGGACTAGACCAGGACTATGGATAGAATTTCAAAGAAGATACCAGTAATTACCAGTACCAAGTTAACAAAAGTCTCCTTGTGCAATGTAAAACTCTTAGAAAAATCTATTACAACAAAAATTATAGCAAAATAGGGAAGATAATAGTGTAGAGTGTTGCAAGTCCTTGAAATTCATTTAATTGATATGACACTTTGTATAATGTGATCATTCAAAGATAAGCATTGTATACAAAGGGCAATCACTAAAGATTTTTTTTAAGGGAGGGCATAGTCATCAAATGGGGGCATTAAAGAACTTCAGTGTTAAAAAGAATAAACAGGAAAAAATAAACAAGGAACATATCAAGAAAAAATGCTTGGTGATAAAGTAAAAATTATTAAACCAATCAACAAAAAGAGATCATCAGGTTGGACTTTAAATAATATTCTCTATTATGGGGAGTCTGACTCAAGTTCTTAACATTTGTCTGCTGAAAGCTTTTAACCTTTACATGGCCCCTGTCCCCTCCTGTCCCTTATGTGGGGAAGATGACAAGAAAGCCTGGGTAATCTCTCCCTTTGGTGCCAGTGGAAGATGCAAGCCTCACAAATCTCACTATGTCCACTCCCCCACACACATTACCACCCCTGACCAGTGTCTTTTCTTGCCCTTTTAAACCATGTGGGACCAGCCTGAGAGATTTGCACCCTCCACACCAAAGACTGCAAGAATGTGAGAAATAATAGTTCTCATCTTTTTATAGGGGGGTGAGGGTAACATCAGTCTTGCCTTGCAAAGCACACAGTGGATGAAAATATATTATAAGCCTAAAGAAATAGGTTATGTGTGGAGGAAAATAGATGCACCACATAGCTACTAAAGTGGCTACATTTATTAGGCAAATAAATGTGGAAAAACTACTTGGAGGGATTATTCAAAATCTCAATGGTCAGGCTACTCTTCTGTGCAACTGAAGTAAAATTTTCTTGGCTCTCAGAAAGGACCTGTGTATCCATTTTTTTTTCAGTTTTCAGGTCTTCTGAGGCACATCTTTGATTCAGTATCACTGAGTCTGCACAGCATGATCTGTGTATATTCAAAATTGGTGGAATTGATCATATATAATGTCTTGTATATGTATGAGCAGAATTCAGTGAGTAACTTTGGAAATTACTTCTTTTATTTATTAGTATTGTTTACTACACCTAGATTTGCATAAGATAGAATGGGTCAAATGCTAGGATCTTTGGATTATTCTTCTTATTCTCTATAAGTTCCCTCTTTCTCTCTCTCTTCCTCTCTCTCTCTCTCTCTCTCTCTCTCTCTCTCTCTCTCTCTTTCTCTCTCTCTCTCTTTCTCTCTCTCTTTCTCAAGGATTGAATCCAGGGCCTTTGCACTGAGCTACACCCTTAGTTATATGCTCAGTTTTTTAAAACTTCTTTTTACAAAAAGATCTGGCTGTCATTAATTTGTCCATGTTACGTGCAAACTTGCAATATTCCTGCCTCAGCCTCCCAGAGTGCTAAAATTACAGGCATGAGCTACCATACCCAATTCTGCAAATACATTTTCTTGAAAAGCCACATTATTTCATACTCTTAAGCAATCAAAGTATGCTTTATATGTCACAAGCACATCGGTATTTCAATCATTGTAAGAAATTAAAACATCCAATCATTTTCTTATTATAAAATTAAGAATTTATTTAAAAAATTCTTCCTTACTCCATCCAAGACAATCTTGGACTCAATTCACTAAATCACAAAACAAAACTTCAACTCAGATTTTCCCTGTGCGTTTTCCAGTGTCCAGCAGAGGGCGGCACTGTAACAGGGAAAATAGGCTTCTCTTTGAGGGGAGGCTTCAGAGCTGCTGCTGGTGAGATACTGGAGTTTAAACGGAACAGAAACCATAGTAAATAGTTCAATTAGAAACCAATATCATATGTAGTGTCCTATTTCTCTATAACATTTGCGAAGGGGAAAAGGCATTTATTGACTGTGACCTGAAAAGGCTAAACTCACAGACAGCACAGGTTGTGGTTTGTACTTCTTTCTCTTCTAATCCTTGTGCTTTCTGGGCAAGTTTCTAAAGAGCGTCAGGTAAAGCATAGATGAGTCCCTCTACCCAGGCCTTCCTGCTTCTGCTCTTTTGTTTGGGGTGCTTTGGACTTTGGACCTTTTCCCAATCCTGAAACCCTGTGCTTTTCACTCCCAGCTTCTGGTCTGAACATCAAGTCTCCACTCCAATCCAAAATCCGGCCAGCAAAGGTGGGGAGAGAGGGGATTCAGGCTCAGGCTTTGCACATGGGATGCTTTGACGCCTGGTGCTGCTCCATGTAGCCCAGCTTCAGATGAACCTCCCTTCCCTCAGCTGGAATGGAGCCCATCAGGTCATGGCCCTTGTGTTCTGATAAACTGTGTTTTAAGAATGTGTCTCACTTGTTTCCTGGGGATGGAAAGTCAGGCAGAGGAGAATCTAAACAATGAATTTGCCACTCATTTGTGTCAGAATACAAATACAAGTGGGTTCACTGGTGAAGTGCTTGATGGATTCTCTGGATGGGTGGGAGCTCAATACTGGATTGAAGAAGAGGGGTAATAGCATTGGTGTGGTGGAACCATGGCCATGAAAGTGGAGGGGGATGAGGGGCCCAGCTAGCTGCATGGGTTATGGTGGTTATGTTCATTGAGTTGCTGCAGCACACCTTGGGAACCTGGAATGATGGCTTTTATTCCTTGACCTGCATGAAACTGGTTCTTTTAAACAGGGAGTTCATATTAGCCTGTTTTCTGTTGCTATAACCAAATCCCCAAGGTTGGACACTATATAAAGAAAAGAGAGCTATAGAACTCTCAGCACTGGAGGTTCAAGAGCATGTGCTCACTTCTCCTTGCCTGTGTTGGGACTTTATGACTTTTCAGTGGTGAGAGCATGTTCAGAAAATAGCAGAACTGGCAAGGGCCAGGCTCACTTTGCTTTTAACAGTCTTTTACTAGAACTATCCTGGTCACGTGAGAACTATATTATACCACTCTCTCCTGAGGACGATGCTCTCAGTCACCTAATTATGGCCCATCAGGCCCACCCCTTAATTTTGTGAGATTCTCCTTGATTGTTGGACATGATTGCAGCTTGCTCCTGATCGGTGTGTAAGTCATTCATGATGGACATGAGCCACCATTTGTCCATTCCACAGCAATGCAATGAGACTTTTGATACCATATGAATCTGTTCAAATGACCATAACAAATTACCACAGGCAGCATGGCTGAAGCAATACAAATGCATTTTAGCATAGTTCTGGCTACTAGAGATTCCACACGAAAGTGCCAGCTGATTTGATTCCTACTGAGGACTCTCTTTGTAGTTTGCAGGCCTTCTCACATGTAGACCCATCATATGGCCTTTATGTGTGTGTATGTGTGTGTTTAGAGGGGAGGAGCTTTCTGATATCTGGTCTTCATAGCCCTTGGAGCATAAGAATAATTTTGTCATCAAAGCACATAAACATTAGACTGTTTATTCTTTAGAATATTTCTATTGATGAATAATTAATTTTATGAATTTCATTATATCAAACAATGAGTACTTAACAGGAAAACATCACAAAAATAAAGTACTGAGTTTTTAATATTTATTATTTGTAAAAAAATTACAATTTTCAACATCGACTGGTTTTTGATGTACAAAATCTAAAAGAACAACCAAAATAAATTCCCATAAGAATTACAATGAAAATACCAATAGCACTCCACAAAAAAATCTTTACTTCAATGATCATACCTAAGGCAGTCTGCAGACATGACAACACGTCCCATACACAGGTAATACTTGCATTGACAGCACATGTCTTTTGCTCTCCTGGCCTTTTTGTAGAACATAGTAGACTCTCAGTGGTCTTGCTGTTTTGTCAGGAAGTTCTTATTATATTATACAGTATGTAGTTAATACTAACATAAAATATCAATAAAATAAGTTGTTAAATTCTTAATATGTTTATGCAATTGAAATAGATATCAACGTTTTCATATCATCTGTGTACTTTCTTACAAAACCTAAAAGATAATATCAGAAATAAATTCCTATATGAACTATAAAGAAAATACCAATAGAACTCTAACATAAAAATAAGTTTTGCATCAACTGCCACACCCGTAACAGTCTTCACA